TTCTCCTCCTTGGAGGCTAAGGCATCCGCCACGTGCCGTTGCGTGCTTACCGCGTCTTTGTGCCGGAGCGCGTGGATGTCTCCCTTGAACCCGTGAGGGTCCACCTCACGCACCAGGTGTCCAAAGTCTCGTGCCGCCGTCAAAAAGGACGGCGCTCCCAGCACAAAATCCCTCACGACGGGCGTGAAAACCACTAGCCGCCGCAGCCCACCGGCATGTGTCTTGCCGTTGGCGGCTGCACGCGCTAGTCTACGCACAATAATGCCGCCACCCTTATGCACCCTGTTCCCGCAGTCGCTAGCGGCAGTGAAACGAGGGCAAAACATGTGCATCCTACTGGTTCGTTGGCCAGCGTGGGAGAAACAAAAAAAAAAACGTGAAGGAAAAAAAGGTCATGGAGGCTCACACATGTCCATTTTTCCGGGTTTTTTTTTGGTTTGTACACGTCTCAAGGAGACAAAAAAAAAAAACTTACCGCAGGGAGTGAAGTAGCAGCCATCAGCCTTACACACCAGAAAAAAAGGCAACAAGAAGGCGTGGAACACCGCTGCGTGTAGTGTTTCCGCCCCACTCACCCTCCAGAGCCAGGTAAAAGGGGAAGCGGGGGATCGAAATGTAATAACACGCATCTCACACTGTGCGTACGCAGGCATGTGTGTGTGCCCGGAAGCAAAACTTGTTCCGTTTCTTTTTTATTTTCGCTTTTTCTTCATCTTTGCCTACTTCCCGCCCCCAGCGCCCTTCACACCCTCTCCACTGGAGCGCACACACATCTGTATGCTTGTTTCTTGCTTCTCGTTAACTTCCAATAGGGAGCCCAATCAGTCCACTAAATGCTTCCGCTGGGGCAGCTCCACCGGCTCTTCGTCCCTCAACGTCACGGTGTGACGCCTGCGTTGAAACCAGTAAACAATTTTGAGTTCCTTTTCCTCCTCAGTATAGGGATCGGGGTCGGTAAACCCCACGAGTTTGCGTTTAGAGCCTGCCGGCAAAAGTAGCTTTGAATCCCGAACAAAGTTCTGAAGCGGAACCGTGACGTCCAGCAGCAAAATGGAGGAAGCGACGGCATTCTCATCCGTGTTGCGCACTACATCATTTGCGGCAGGCGTCTTTGGCAAGGAAGTCAGCCGCATTCGCCAACGCTGCCACCACCGCAGCTGCTGTGGTGTCTCTGCCGCCGCGTCCGGCAACCGCACGCAAAGTGACTCAGGGTAGCGCGGATTAAGCACACCGTACTTTGCATTGATGATGACAAGTCCACCAATTTTTTCCTCCTGTAAACGATTGCGCAAAGACATACTCTCCACTACCTTCTGCTCATGCATGGCACGCACACGCGCCACGTCCATATCTATCTGGTGCTCTAGTCGGCGCTGACGATTGAGCGTGGCCGCCCGAGACCGCTGAAATGGCCGCCAGGCGAGTCGTGCCATACGATAACACGCCCAAGGCAGTATCAGCCAGAGTAATACCTGCTGAAGCTGAGAAGAAGCAAACACCGCCACAGGGATTTCAATCCTGTGGCTTTTCCGTGTGTAAAGGAAAGAGACAGTGTTGATCGCGTTTCGCCCCGTGTTGCGCGGTAGGTGGCCGATGGGTAGCATAGATAGCGGCAAATCTGTGGAAAATCCAATGCCGACGGACTGCCATTCGCTGGTCTTATACCGCGCCTGAAACCCCACGCGGGCAACCCCGGCAAGAAGAAACAGTGATGCGGACTGTGTCACGAAGGCTCTCCCCCCGTTATGTAGTTTATCCTCCTTTTCATCGGTAACGATGATGGTTGACCCGCGGTAAAAAAAAAGTCCCAGTTGTCCATACCCAATGTGGGCGGATAAACTCCTCGGTAGTCCATCCTTAACGCCAAAAAGCGTGGTTTTGAAAACACCATTCTCTGTGAGAAACATTGACAAAGAATTCTTCAATGACCACGCTGAGGACAATTTTCGCGTAAGAATGACCTCAAAACGGTGCAGTAAATTCAAACCATCAAAAAGAACTAACTTTGTTTTGAGCTCCCACAACGCGCTCAATTGACGAATGCGAGTAAACGCAAACTGCAGTCTCTGCAAAGACGTGTGCCACGAAGCTTTGTATCGGCGAATGCCATCCGGTGCATACTTCAGTTGCCCTCCACATCCTACCTCCGCCCTGCGGCCATGATGGCTTGCCGTTGTCTGAAACACCACGGCAAGCCTCGGTGTCAGCTCGTGTGTAAAGGAGTTCTGAAAAAAAATTTCACGCGGCAAGATAGTCATAGCTATCATCTGCATGGGCGTGAACTGCGAAGGACGTAGTGAGGGGGTGGCAGGCGCTTCAGAGGCGGCATTGGTCGACTCCATCATTTTCTGCTGCAGCATTTTCTCCATCTGAGGAGAAGGAATCAAGACGAGCCGTTCTTCTCCGTCCAGGATAATCCGTTTTGCCTGCATTTGTGCATTTTGCAGAGGCACCGGAGCTACCTTCGCGGGAACGCCTGCCCCACTCGGCGCACTCGGCGGTTCCTCACCCTTTGATGCATCATCCCCCGCCTCACTCGTGACTGCTGCTTCGCTTTCCGCCACCTTCGTTGGGGCAGAGGCTTCCTCAGCATGTTTCTGCTCCTCCTTCGCAGGCGAAGGCGGAAGCGGTGAAGCTGCGTTCTCTGCACCGAAGGAATGAAACAGGTGCGCGATAGAGTAGGAGAGGCTAAGCGTCGAGGTGGGCGCAAGCAAAGCATCTAGCTGCGCCACCCTCTGCTCCTTTTCTAATAACGCCACGTAGCGTGCAACCTCCTCGGGACGAGTGAAGTTTTCTGGGATGAGCGACAACATGTTCACGCCTTTTGATCCAGCCGTGTCATACGCTGCCCGCTGCTTGGCGTCCGAAAGCACCACGTATGCCTCCTGCAGTTGTTGAAAACGTTCATTCATCAACTGTTGAATATCCTTGGTTTCCCCGCCATGTTTATCGGTGTGGTAGACCTGACTCAAATAGAGAAAGGATCGCCTAATCGTGTTGTATGAGGCATTCTGCGGCACCCCGAGAATGGCATAGTACCCATCCGGGTCCGGATCCGTTCCGTCAACATTGCCGCCTGAGCGATGCAGGAAGGAATCCTCCCGGAATTCTTCATCGTCATCATCCATGCCCTGCATTAGACGTGTATTTCGCTGTCAGAAAGTACCTTGCGTGAGTTGTCTGGTGTTCCTGTGGCTGTTGCCCGCGGTCTTCGCGTTATTTGTAGCTGTGGTGGTGCTGGTGATGGAGACAATGTGGTTGCTTGTACTTCCGCAGCACCTTCTACTGCCCGTTGCTTTATTATCTCCACGGTTTGCCGTGTGTTTTTTTTTTCTCTCCCCCTGCCTTCCCTCGATCTAACTCCAGTATGCCAATGTGTCCTCCTACGTAAATCAAAAATAGATGGATATAAAAAAAAAGGACAAGAGTACGTCAAAGAAGGAGTAAGAGCTTACCGTCATAGACACACGCAGGGGAGCTCCGTGTGAGACGCCAAATTCGTTCATGCCTCTCTACCCTCGACTGTTTCTTGATGCGCATCGTGCATTCCAGAAGCGCACGTAGGAAGAGGGCGAGCCTTGCCATCAGGTCAAGAAATACACCAAACAATAGGAACGATACAAAAACATAGAAAAATAGTTGATGATGGATGTGGCATCGGTAAAGATACTGTGAGCCAAACAAAAGTGAATCGAAGGGCTCACGTCCCAGTGGCCCTCTCTCATGCACCCCTCGCCGCCCCGCCATCATCCTCGAAGATATAGATGCAAAAAGACGCATATTTACATGTATATGCGTCCCTCTAACTCTTGGCCGCTTGCCACAGTACACTCTAATTCTGTTCCATGCTCCTGCATGCTGCTTTGCTCCTCCTCCTCCTCCTCCTCCTCCTCC